CTGATTCTCCTTTTGAGATGCTGCCGCAGGTTGGGGGGTGGAGAGAGGCTGTCAGGGGCCAGGGAGCTGGCAGGTAGTGGTCGAGTCCTGGGCTGTGGTGGGAGATGTGGGGTTTGTGAGAAGTGAGGGGATGGGAACACAGGGGTGGCACCCGGACTCCTCACACAGGGCAATGGGCAGACCCAGAAGCCTAGCTGACCTGGCCCTGCAGGAAGGGCCTGTGAGCTGAGTAGGTGGATCCAGCTTTTCCTGAACTCCATTCAGCCGAAGCAGCTTTCCTGAGAAAGGAGAGGGGGAAGTCGCAGAGGGTGCAGCTGGTGCTGCTGGGGCCCTCGGAGGCGCTGGGGGGGCAGGTGCCACCCGCCAGGAAGGGAAGAGTTGAGTGGGGTCACCTGGCTGGGGCGTGGGAGCCAGATGACTTCAGAGGTCTCAGTGAGGCCAGGAAACTGAAGGCGGCTGGGGCGCTGTGGTCCAGGGTAGATCACCCCAAGGGCACCTGGGCGGGGCCGGGGCGGGGCGTTGGCCCAGGGTGAGCCCAGTACACTGTGTGATTTGAGCCTGTTTTCATGCTGAGCCACAAGGGGAGGGGGCGGCTTAACAGGGAGGGTGTAGAGCTGGGTGTCTGCTCCAACTATCCATGTGGGTAAACTGAGGCCCAGAGGGGCAGATGGTCTTTGGAGACCACAGGGTGGTTCTGGGCTCTGATACAAGGCCAAGGGGTGTTGGGGTGGCGGTAGAACCAAAGAACGGTCTGTAATTTCAGTCCCTGTGAAGATAAGGGGCTTTGGGCAGGGAAGGGGGACAGATCCCACCGCCACCACTGTGCCCAGCAAGACTGGGCCTCCTGTCCACGCCTCCTAGAGGGGCCCTGGGATCATTTGGGATTTGGGGCAGAGGTCAGGACCCACCCCCACCCCCGCACCCCAGGGCTGGAGAATGCTCCCTCGGTGGGAGGGTGAGCAGGGGCTGTCCTGATCTGTCTCTCCGTCTGGGCAAGGAGGTGAGACAGCTTGTCTTGACACACCCTTCAGCCTTTGATGCCTGGTGGACCCCGATCTGTCCTTTACAGCCCAGTCTCCCCAAACCCTTCCTGGGGCTTTAGACAGAGCCTCGCCACCCCCATCCCCTCTCTTGGTACTGCCCTGAAGGGAAGGCAGGAGGATCTGTGGGGAGAATTAATGAGGTAATAAGGCTGGATCGGGAGAATGGTGCTGCCTCCGAAGGGGCAGGTCCCGCTTTACAGAAGGGAGACTCGGGAAGGCCGGCCAAGCCTCTGGCCACCATCACCCTTGGCCACCATCACCCAGCTGGAAGACAGCCCGGGGTTTGAACCAGATCTGCTGAAAGTAGGGGTGGGGTGGGCCTCTGGCTTGACCTTGTCTGTCTACACCCCCCCCCCTCAGGGTCCTGGCAGGGGAGACTACATTCCAGCAGGAGCGGCTGCAGGCCATTGCAGTGAGTTCTTCCTACCCCTGGGATGGTGTGGCCAGTGGGGGGACCTCGGTCTCATGGGCTCCTCACTCAGCACAGGGACCCTGTGACTCAGTGGTGCCTGCTGGTGCTTCCCCATAGATAAAATCCTCCTTAATCCTTGGAATGTGGAACCTTAGACCGCTAGCCCTCTTAGAGCCCCTTAAAGGTGGGGAAACTGAGGCATGGTAGAATCCTGCCCTTATTTATGCCCCAGCGGGGGGAATGGGCTGGTCGGGGGGCAGTGGGCCAAGTGGGTGCCATTTACAGAAAAAAGCAGGCTCGCTGTGGCCAGAGCCTTGGGTAGGTGGGTGCGGTCTTCATGGTGCCCCTGCCTGGTCCTGGCCCCATCCCGTCCGTCTGTCCATCAGGAGAAACGGAAGAAGCAGGCAGAGATTGAGAACAAGCGGCGGCAGCTGGAGGACGACCGGCGGCAGCTGCAGCATCTGAAGGTACCAGGCGTCGGGCTCCCCCTCCAGAGCCCGGCCTTGGCAGAGGGGCGGGAGGGGCCGGCAGTGCCCAGAGGCCCCAAGTCTCGGTCGGGTATGGGGCTGGGAGAGCAGGAAGCCTGAGGGGACCCTGATCCAGACTCCGACCCTGATTTTGACCCTGCCTCCTGCTGCCCCCAGTCCAAGGCGTTGCGGGAACGATGGCTGCTGGAGGGGACTCCGTCCTCAGCCTCAGAGGGCGACAAAGACATGAGGAGGCAGATGCAGGAGGATGAGCAGAAGGCCCGGCACCTGGAGGAATCCATCTCCAGGTGGGTGGGGAGCCACACAGACCTGTACAAAGTCTGGGTGTGGGACCCGAGCAGTGGGTCCTGAGGGGTAGGATGGGGTTTGGCCGCCTTGCTCCGTGTGTGTGTGTGTGTGTGTGTGTGTGTGTGTGTGTGAGT